CCCCCCCCGGGCCTTTTGGCGGCGGCGGCCGCTGGGGAAGCCAGAGGCTGGCTCGTCCCTAACACTGTGGTTTTTTCCCCTTTTCTTTGCAGGTGCTGGTGCAGGAGCTGGAGCAGCACCAGGTCTGTGTCGGCTCTGATGAAATCATCCCTCTTGCTGTAGTCAAAAGTTTCCTTTACTTTACAAGTCATTCAAGTTTCTTCCGCTCTACTGTCTTAACTTTTTCCCCTCAACGCACATTGTTTTGGATGTGATCTATCCCTCCTTCCCCTTTAACCACTCAGTTTTCCTCTTTTTTTTTTTTCCCTCCATTTAGTTGCTTCCTAAAAGGTTGGATTGGCAAGGAAATGAGCATTATAGAAGTTACGAAGAATTGGTGAGACTTTTTTTTTTTTTAAAAAGTTTTATGTGGGATGATAACATTGATATTAGACCCTTTACCTTTAAAAGCAGGCCCAAAGCTTTACCTTCCAGTTTCATTCCGGCTCTGTTAAGACATTGGAGTTATTTTGGAAAGGGCCTTTAATTTCTTTACATTAGACTAACAAAAACAGCAGTGGTGTTTTAAATTGCGGATATTGTTTACATAGCAGAGGTGGAGCTTGGCGTTGTGCATTGGTACATGCCACTGCCTACGTATAGGGAAGAACCAATCTGAAGCAAGGTTTCATTTCAGAGTTTCATGAGCAAGTTTGTTAGGCGCATTTTGATTTGACGGTATTTATTTTCTGGTTGGCTTCCTTCATCAGTCCCCTTCAACAGATTAGGAAATGAAGTCGCTGTTCAGAAATCAAGGCTTGGCAGTTCTGGTGCCTATGAGTGTGCTCGTTATCTCTGGCTACTCACTGGTCATAGCTTTGTTTCTAAATATTAGAAGGATGTGAGCAATCTCTTAACAGCGTGTACTTTATGCCTTCTACAGCTGATGTTGTTTGCTCTAAATGTTTTAACTTCTATCTGTTTCAGAATGGAAAGCTGTCTTTCTCTTGGTGTTTTATTTTACTGCTTCTTAAATGGCAAAGTATATTTGGCAGTTGAATCTTGTGAAGTGATGGCCTGGTGGTGCCCGCCCAGTGTGGTTTTATCCTACTTTATTGTAGTTGATCTGGTTTTCTTTAAACGGATGTTCACTCTCACTTTTTGTCCCCCTAAATTTCAGGCATTCCAGGTTAATTGACTCACTTCTCCTTTACCCATCAGTTTGTGTACTGTTATAGTTCTCCTTGTCCCTCTTGTGTAACACTTGAAGATCTTGGAATTGTATTTGCATAGAGAAGGAATGAAATTTTGTTTAAAGCATTTTCTTAATTACTTAAGTTCTGCTTAAAATGATAAACTGGCTTCCACTTCTTCCGCTTGTCAGCGTGGTCAGTTGAGCAAATGAGGTTTTAAATTAATGCTTTAAGTCACTAAAAAGCCTAGTCTTGCTGAACAGGAATACTTTCAAGCTCTGACTTGAATTTAGCAAACATGAAAGTAGTATTAAGTTTAAAAAGGATCGTTTGGGGTTTTTTTTGTTGGTTGGTTGGTTTTCTTGACCCCAGTTCTTCTGGCAAAAAGTGGTGGTCTTGGGAGATGCCATGTGTGGATTCTTCTGACTTAAGTGCAGTCTTTTTTAACTGTGTTTATTATGCATATACAGTTGTCAGATTAATGCTTTAATATGTGCTGCTTCTACCTCACTTTCCTACACAATTTAAAAGAAATCTCTGCATAGGCTAATAGTATTTCAGAATATCCAAATTAATCTTCTGAAGGTTTTAGTTTCTGCTTTTGAGGGGCTTTGGGAACCTCTTGTCCCACTGGTCTCACTCCGAATTTGCAGAGACCACAGACAAATGCAATCATGTGGTGCAATTATTTCTTTTCCTCTTTGTCCATCATGGAAATGGAGCAAGACTTTAACATAACTGTTCCTTCCAAAATCAGAGTAAAACTACTTTAAAAGGAAATTAATTGCAAGGTTTTGTATGCATACTTCTGTCAGGGATTGCATTTGGAATATATACTGCCTGATGATGGCATGCAAACAAAATGGTTTATAATGCTTGGCGTAAAGTATGCTGAGCTTTCTGTCCTGAATGTCATGGCTAGTACTGCTCTATAGCAATTCAAGAGGCAAAATTTATAAAGAATTGATGAAAAAGCGTATTTCTTAATCTTTGGAATACCAAATATATTTCTCTTAATCAACCTTAAGCGTCTGATGAGCTGATTCGCTTTGGATATATTTGGCTGTGGAATACAACCTATACTCCTGCAAGTTTTATACATTGTTTGGTGTTTTATTATTAAAACAAGCATTAGGTTGTGGCTTAAATCTTACATTCTCAATACTCATGTCCATTTGGGCAACTTCTTGTTGAACAGATCTTACATGACAGCATGTGGTATTTTTATTCCCGCTGTTCCGATGACGAGATCAGCTTTGTCAGGACTTTCCTCATCTAAGTTCAGTTGGTAGGCTAAGGGAATAGCATCATAAGCATGAGCTAGTTTTGCCTGTGTTCTGAGCTACGTGGGCAAGAGGCCACATACCTGCGTTGGTGTGGCCCTCTGCCTCTCCTGGGTGTATTGGCTGGGAATAGTCTGGCTGCTGAAGTAGCAGTGTGGCTTCTGGGTCTAACTGGTTTTTATGAGGCCAGATCAGAGAGTGGAGTAAGCATGGGTGCCTGCTGATTCAGACCTCCCCAATAGTTTAAATTGATGATTCTGGTGGTTTGGTGTACTTGAGTCTCTGTAAACTCTACTTTGCATATTTAACCTCTTCATTATTGTGACTGACTTTATAGTTAGATAAGGATTTATTTTTTCATTGAACTCCCAGGAAGAAGAGGGGGAAAAATAATCAAAAACCACACACATCTGTTCTTGACTGAGACATCTGAGTGTGTGTGGTGGTGTATTTTTTTTAGATTGTTAGATGTAGATAGTATGGGATCCTTCCTGAATGGATGGATGACTGTTTTGATCCTTTCGGTTTAAGGAAGTAGGGCAGTCTTATGCTAGGTAGTACTGGTTCTTCAAGGAATCTATTTTCAGAGAGATTGTACTCAAACCTACTAGTTTGCAGTTTACCGAACAAGTACTGTGTGACTGAAGTACTAGTTGCATAAATTCTTGTGCTGGATTACAGCAAAATTCTCCATGATCTTGAGTTATGAGGGTTTGAATGATATTTTTTATTTTTAATAAAAATAATTGGGTGAATTGGGCAAAGACACTCATTGTAGGGTGCCACACAAATGGGTGCCATATGTGTGAATGCTACAGTCTTTCAGTAGTAAAATACTGATGTGCAGTAAGTAATTTTACTGCCGTTATTTTTACTACAGCTCTCCCATTCTTGGAGAGTACTTGTTGAATTTGTTAGATCAGAGCTTAACAGAATTGATTTTGTTTTGTAAGTTGAACTTAAAAATATTTAAACAATGTTTAATATACCTGTGAATATTCGATGGTTTTAGATTCATCTGTTCTGGATGTACCATATATATTTTTAAAACTTAAATTTCTGTCAGGTGCTGTCCAACAAACATGTGGCTCCAGACCATTTGTTACAAATTTGCAAGCGTATTGGCCCTATACTGGATAAGGAGATACCACCCAGCATTTCGAGAGTGAATTCCTTACTTGGTGCAGGGAGACAGTCATTGTTACGTACAGCAAAAGGTACGGTTTGTTTATTATTTGAAATGGGTATGATACATTTTCATAAGTGTATGGTGAAAACTTTTGGAATACTTAAGTGGTGAGCTTTCACCACAATTGGCCCCTACTTCTTCTGTACTGTGTTTAATCAACCAAAACACTAGCGATCTGTGTATTAATGGTATAACTATATATTGATTGTTGTGAAGAAAAGGTTTTAAGTTGCATCACAAGAATTATTGTTACTCCGAGTGCTGAGGCTGCTGAACATGGCCAGTTTTCAGTATTACTGTAATATAATGAATCATCAGGGCACAGGTGCTACTTCTCTAACATCTCCCGACGCTCCCAGTAGTATATTGGCCCGTGCTGGTTTTGAATGCGGTAGCTGTTGTACTCTGTTCAGTGCAAATGTGAGACAGTAACACCAGTTTTCTAAAAGTTTTCTTGGTTAATGCAAATGGCATCAGAATTAGTACTTGTGAGTTCTGTACATACACAGGAGAAAGTCCTTGCCCGTAACGTAAAGAGAATGGTTGGCAATGCATAAGCACATACTTTACTTGATAGAGTAGATTTTAGCTTTAGGCATATCTCTCTGAATGTTTCTCGGAGGGGGTGTTGATGTGTTTGTATGAAGTTCTGTTGGGTAGCTAGGTGCTGTGGTGTGGGACTGGTTTATGGGATACTATTGTGTTTTCAGTTGTCGGTCTTAACTGCTTTAAAGGATGCACACTGAATGACAGTGACTGTTCTATCCTGAAAATCACAATTGCAATTATTTCAGCATGAGTGTGCCAAAATAACTGTCAGCGTGGGAATTTTTTTTTTTTTTAAGAATTGCAGAATTGTCAGGTTGGAAGGGACTTCTTGAGATCATCTAGTTAAATAATTTCATACTAATAAATATTCAATAAGTATTTATATTTATGAATAAATATTCATGAAGATGTTAAAAATCTTAAATGCTTTGCACTGAGAATGAGTAGGAAAAAATTCAGTTAAAAGGTTAGTTTTGTGTGACGTGAACTTGCAGGGGCATCACCATTTAGGAGTAATTTCAAAGTTTGGTTGTTGGTTGTATTGGGGTTGTTTTTTTTCCTCCTTCTGTTACTGTATGAAATGGATTTTTCTCTCATCTGATGCTACACTGTTCCTGGAAAGTTTTGGGGCATTTGGTGTTCCTATTTTTTCAGTTGTTTCATTACTGTGTTTGAGACCGCCTATAGATACGTTCTTTACCATGTTTTGGAACTGCAGCTCTCTTGGCATTTTTAACATGTACTTATGATGAACTTCAACCAATTGGTTTTAAAGATTGCAGGAACACTGTTTGGAAGGGCTCTGCATTTGCTGCTCTTCACAGAGGAAGACCTCCTGAAATTCCTGTGAACTATGGCACACCACCAAATCTTGGTAAGCTCTTTTCAGCACTCATCACTGCTGCTGTGAGCATGCGATGTGTATCTTGATACTGGCCTTGTTACAACTTTGAAAATTGCACCTCAGAACTGGATCTGGAGGCTTATCTGGAGAACTTCTTTCAACTTCACTGGAGCTGTGTATTGGATACAAAGGTTTGCTCACAGCACTAGTGAGACAGTAGCCTCTAGATGACTTTTTTCTTTTATAAAGCCACTGTATTAAGTAGATAAACCTTCAGAAAATACAAATCCTTCTCCTTTGGATAGAAGGACTCTTGTATGATTTTAAGGTCTAGAAAGCCATGGGAAATTAAAGATAATGTTTAGCACTTCCTGTTTAGAGACTGAAGTTTTGATTGGAGCAAGTTTAAAATACTGTCTTGGTTTTATACCTAGAAAAAATTGCAAATACAAAAAAACCTGACTTTATGAAATCTGAAAGTCAATTCTAGTAAGTCCTGAAGTAATATATTAATGGAAGTTAAATAAAATCATGTTTTAGAATAGACCTGCTTTAAACATCAATACATTCATTCTCTGATTTCTTTGTGTTCTAGTGGAAGTACATCGAGCAAAACAATTAACTGGATATGCAAAGTTCAGTACTTCATTTCCAGGAAGTATGTATCAGCATGTCAAGATGCACAGACGGATTCTTGGCCATCTTTCTTCTGTATATTGTGTTGCATTCGATAGGACTGGACATAGAATATTTACTGTGAGTTGATGAAATAGATCCGAATCTGAATATAGTTCTAGATGAATGCAAGGAAGAGAACTCTGAAATGCATGTTACGCTAAAACTTCTGGAGGTGGATATTGGTAGAGTTAAAATGTAGCTGATTAGTTCCATGGACATGCTTAAGCAGAACAATTTGATGTAATTAAAGGTCGGAAGCATGTAAGAAATTGTTATACTTAATGTCTAGTCAGGTTGACACTGATGTAGGAGCTTTATTCAGTGATGCAGTTTGGTCATAGAATCATAGAACGGTTCGGGTTGGAAGGGACCTTAAAGATCATCTGATTCCAACCCCCCTGCCATGGTTAGGGACACCTTCCACTAGACCAGGTTGCTCAAAGCCCCATCCAACCTGGCTGTGAACACTTCCAGGGATGGGGCATCCACAACTTCTCTGGGCAACCTGTGCCAGTGCCTCACCACCCCCATGGTGAAGAATTTTCTTCCTTATATCTAATCTAAATCTACCCTCTTTCAGTTTAAAGCCATTGCCCCTTGTCCTATCACGATGTGCCCTTGTAAAAAGTCCCTCTCCAGATTTCTTGTGGGCCCCCTTTGGGTACTGGAAGGCTGCAATAAGGTCTCCCCAGAGCCTTCTCTTCTCCAGGCTGAACAACCCCAGCTCTCTCAGCCTGTCCTCATAGGAGAGGTGCTTCTGCCCACTGATCATCTTCATGGCCCTTCTCTGGACTTGCTCCAAGAGGTCCATGTACTTCTTATGTTGAGAGCCCCAGAGCTGGATGCAGTGCTCCAGGTGGGGCCTCACAAGAGCCAAAGAAGAGGGGGAGAATCACCTCCTTCGACCTGCTGGCCACGATTCTTTTGATGCAGCCCAGGACACAATTGGTCTTCTGGGCTGCAAGTGCACATTGTCAGGTCACGTTGAGCTTCTCATCAGCCAACACCCCCAAGTCCTTCTCCACAGGGCTGCTCTCAATCCATTCTCTGCCCAGCCTGTATTTGTGCTTGGGGTTGCCCCACCCCATGTGCAGGACCTTGCACTTGGCCTTGTTGAATTTCATGGGGTTCGCAGAGGCCCACCTCTCAAGCCTGTCAAGGTCGCTCCCGCATGTCGACAACACCACGCAGCTTGGTGTCGTCAGCAAACTTGCAGAGGGTGCACGCGATCCCACTGTCCACGTCGCCAACAAAGATGTTAAACAGCGCCGGTTCCAGTACCGATCCCTGAGCAATGCCACTCGTCACTGGTCTTCACTTGGACATCGAGCCATTGACCGCAACTCTTTGAGTGTGACCATCCAGCCAATTCCTTATCCACCGCGTGGTCCGTTCATCAAATCCGTGTCTCTCCAATTTAGAGACAAGGATGTTGTGCGGGACAGTGTCAAATGCTTTGCACACATCCAGGTAGATGATGCCAGTTGCTCTTTCTTTATCCACCGATGCTATAACTCTGTCGTAGAAGGCCACCAAATTTTTCAGGCACGATTTGCCCTTAGTGAAGCCATGTCCAAGTATATATATATATATTTTTTTTTTTTTCAATAAAGTTGAAGGATGCATTTTAAGGAAACACAAAACATTAATGTATATGAACAGAAGCCACACTCTCCTTTTCTCTCCCGATGAAGGAGAGTCTCCAGCACATTTTTGCCAAGCAGGCAAGTTGATCCAAAATGTTCTTCAGTTTCTTACAGGGCAAAGGTCTAACCCCTGAGTCCTTGTTATCTGCTGAGCTCTTCTGAAGTTAGCAAATTCCTTTAAGCAGGTCTTTGGCTCCACTCCAGTAAAATTCCCCAAAGACTCTAATAGGAGTGACTTGGCCAGCATGGCTTGAGCACTTGCTGGTGAAGACTGAGGCAAAAAAGTCATTGACTACCTCAGCCTTCTCCATTGTAGGTCTCCCGTTTCCTTCTGGAGAGGGCCCACATTTTCCCTAGTCTTCCTTTTATCACTGATGTACCTATAGAAGCTTTTCTTGTTGCCCTTGACATCCCTGGCCATATTTAATTCTATCGGGGCTTTAGCTTTCCTAACCTGATCCCTGGCTGCTCGGACAATTTCTCTGTATTCCTCCCAGGCTCCTTGTCCTTGCTTCCACCCTCTGTAGGCTTCCTTTTTGAGTTTGAGTTTGTCCAGAAGCTCCTTGTTCATCCATGCAGGCCTGCCATTTTTGCCTGACTTCTGCTTTGTTGGGATGCATTGCTCCTAAGCTTGGAGGAGGTGATCCTTGAATATTAACCAGCTTTCTTGGGCCCCTCTTCCCTTCAGGGCTTTATCCCATGGTACGCTACCAAGCAGATCCCTGAAGAGGCTGAAGTCTGCTCTCCTGAAGTCCAGGGTAGTGAGCTTGCTGTGTGCCTTCCTCGGTGCGCTAAGGATCTTGAACTCCACCATTTCACGGTCACTGCAGCCAAGGCTGCCCTTATGACTTTCTTTCAGCTTAAGTAGCGTACATAGTTTTAAATAAAGTGTAGTGGAAAAACATCGTTAGGTTCTTTAAAAGAAACCTAAAACTTTTATCCTGAATGTCTTTGAAAATCCTTGCCGAGCATAATAAATATTTCTTTCTAGGGCTCAGATGACTGCTTGGTAAAGATTTGGTCAACTCATAATGGCAGGTTATTTGCCACATTACGAGGACATTCAGCAGAGATTTCCGATATGGCTGTCAATTATGAAAACACTATGATTGCAGCTGGAAGCTGTGATAAAATGATCAGAGTGTGGTGTCTGCGAACTTGTGCACCAGTTGCGGTCCTCCATGGACATACAGGGTCCATTACCTCGTTACAGGTATGTTTTTTTTAAGTGTTTCTACATATTGAAGCACAAATAACGTAGGTAGATTGTAAGAAGCAGCCAGTCCATGAAACGCGAAGATAAGTTTCACTTCACAGCATGGCATGGAAAGCTTGAAGGTATTTTAATCAAATAATAGAAACAAGAAACAATTTGGGGAAAAAAAAAAAAAAAGATGCTCTTGCACATGATTTAAAAAGTTAAGAGTCTGCTTTAGTAGTAGGATTTAGACTGATGGTGTACCCTGAGATTAGCTAGCTATCATATTGGTAAGAAATAACCAATTTCCTTGGTTGCTTACTGAAATCAAGAAATGGTTACACGAATGCTCTACACCAATAGAGCCTTCTATCTTTGCGTTAAACTTCTTGAAAAGCAAGATCAGTACCTCATTTTCTGTTTGTGGAGAAAAGCACTTTGTGGTTGCTGTTACTAGGTTAAGAAGTAACTTGCCAAGTGTACATCTTACTTTTTCATGTCCAAGTGCAAGGAACTGATGTTCTGTTTCCCATGAAGGCTGGCACGTGAATGGCAAATAACTTTCACTGTGCTTGTCACTGTGGTTAAAATGACTGAATTCAATTTCATGACTGAAATTATTTCTCTGTGACTGCCTGTGGGAATAGTAAAATCTGAACATTTAAATATTGATGTCAAAAATTAGTCAAAACCACAGGAGAAACCTACTTTAAAAAAAAATTCCTTGCTTCCCTGATATTCCTGAATATTTAACTGAAGATAATGACAGGAATCCTTCTTCACTTAAAAAAGATCACTATCTGTAGTATTTGAGCTGTTGGAACGAAAGAGAATTTCTGGGAAATATCGTGTCCTCCTATTGTCTGTTACTGGAGATGTGATATGCTGGTTTATGTGGGTGAGCGTACTGATCCAGTATGTGATTCTTACAACTTCTCTGATAGGGGTATTTGTCTTAATCTCAAAAATATAAGTTATTTCAAAAGTGCAAGGATGTGTGGTGTAATATGTTGTGCATTTAAATTTGAAGGTGGTGTGAGACTTTGTGCTATTGGTAGTCCTTTAGATTCAGCCTCGTTTTGGCATTTGTAATTCCTTATTTAACAGATAAACTAGTAGCTCATTATCCAGATTTGCTGTGTTTTCCAATGAGACAAACAGGCCTGTGTTGAGAGGTGAAGAGTGGCTACCTGCCAGCTTGTGAAGTTCAGTACAAAAAATAATTTTGCAGTTTTCTCAAAAATGCTGCCTCTGAGAGTAATCTTCATATTTGCAGAGTTTCTGTGGCGTTCATTGCATTTTTTTGTTTGTTTGGTTTTTAATGGCAATGCACTTATTCGTGGTGTTTCTTTTATTGTAGTATGGTGGATTTTTTTTTTGTTTACAGGTTCTTAATAATACTATAATGGCAATATGTACAATTTATATGGCCATTGCCAAAGGTGGTAGTAGTAATTGATGAACAATTTAATCAACTTGTGTTCTGTAAAGCTTTCTGGAGGGTAGCTCTGTGCATAGCAATAAATCCATGTCTTATAGAAGTATGTGTGAGGACTTCCTCTAAATTCATATGTGATGCTGGGTTACATACTCAGACTATCTCATAACTGATGCTCTGCTTAATTATAGAATTTTAAAAGTAAGCCTGTCTAGTGAAACTTCCTTCCATTTTTTTCTTTTTTCAGTCTGCTCTGCTCGTTACTTCATTCATTGACAAAATTTTTTGTGAATGGTTGTGGTTAGTTAAGACTTCAAAAACAAAGCAGTGAATAAATTGGTTTTATGTAATGCAATAATTGAAACATAGACCACAAGCTTACTTTAAAGTATAGGAGATATATTATTTTGTAAACTTTAAAAATGGCAGTTATCAACAACTGCTTTAGCAGTTTTAGTTGAAAAATCCAAAGTAAATCAAGGTTTTACATTAATGTTTTTAAAAGTTCATAAACAGTTTTAAAATATCTCTTTGTATGTGTCTGATTTTATTTTCTTCTCTTTAGTTTAGTCCAATGGTGAAAGGCTCCATGCGATACATGGTCTCTACTGGTGCAGATGGAACTGTTTGCTTTTGGCAATGGGATACAGATTCCATGAAAT